GGCGTCGTAGATGGGGGAGTTGGAGTCTGCATCCTCATCGGGCTCCTCTTGGCGCACAGTCGTGAATCGAGCGAGTTTGTCGCGGCGCTGTTGCTCGAGGTCCTCAAGCAAGGCCATGCCCCGCGTGAATGCACGTGTGTTTACATGCGATGGTTGTTGGGTGGGCTGGGGTGTTGGCTGTGAAGGGCTCTGCGAGTCTTGCAAGCTGTATCGGCGAGGCATGGAGATAGTTTGGTGCGGGTTATTGGAGAACAAGCAGTGAATTCGGAAGTGATTGAGTGTTTTCCAATTACATGGATGGATTTGAAAACGATGCGCGCCAAACGAATTCACCCAATCAACTGTAGGCAAATACATGTGTGCGCATAGTCGCGGCGCCTGTCGATTACTCGTATTGATAACCAATGATTTGGATTACTCCAAAATAATTGCGATAATCAAGAATATTAATTGTCACACGCAAATCATAGGATCGGTCATCAGGTGGTCTAATGTAAACCGTACAACTGTCAGTCGGACTTGGAAACGCGCCATGGTCGACTTCACCAACACCACCCGCCCTTGCTCGAGCGTTGCATCACGAATCAAGGGCCAAAGCGGCAGAAACTTCAAGCACGTGTCGGTTGCCGAGCGCCTCAAGAAGATACCGAAGACCCAGCGCACAACATTCCGCTCAATAGCAGCCGCCATGAACATGTCACGATCCACACTGCATGCCTACTACAAGCGCGGAATCTTTGTGAAGTACACAAGCACCGTGCGCCCTCTGCTCACCGATGCGAACAAGGCCGTGCGCGTCCAGTGGGTCATGAAGCATCTCCATGCTTTGTCGTCCGCCCAGTACGCCTTCGATGACATGATGAACACCGTTCACGTCGACGAGAAGTGGTTTTTTGCGACGAAGATCAGCAAGAAGATGTATCTTGCACCTGGCGAAGAGCCCCCGCATCGTACGTGCAAGTCCAAAAGGTATATCACCAAGGTGATGTTTCTGTCCGCGGTGGCCCGACCTAGGTGGGTCGACGACGAAGTTGGATGGTTCGACGGCAAAATTGGCACGTGGCATTTTACCGAGCGTGTGCCAGCGGAACGATCCAGTCGGAACCGTGCCGCGGGGACCCTTGTGACCAAGCCAGTCTCTGTCACACAGGACATCTACCGGAAGATGCTGATCGACAACGTGATCCCAGCCATCAAGGCCAAGTGGCCAAGAAATTCGTCGAGGTGCATCACCATCCAGCAAGACAACGCACGCCCACACGTTCCGCCACTGGACGCTCGGATCGTGGAGGCATGCCACTCGGATCGGTGGGACATGAGCGTCGTGTACCAGCCGCCAAACCACCCCGACATGAACGTACTCGACTTGGGTTTTTTTCGTGCCATCCAATCCCTCCAAGAGAAGAAAAATTCAAGGCTCGATGACGACATTATTGCTGCCACAGAGCGCGCGTGGGAGGACGTCCAAATGCGGACACTAGATTCGAACTTTATGACTCTGCAGGCGTGTATGCAAGAGGTCATCAAAGTGGCGGGTGACAACTGCTACAGAATGCCCCACATGCACAAGGCCAAGCTCGCTGCTTGTGGAAGATTGCCCGACGTTGTATTGCCTGACTGCGACGTAGTCGATGCTGGTATTTTGCTTCTGCAAACTACCGACATGGAAGAGAAAGTCGAGGAATTAGCTGCAGAAATATCTGCGGCACTGGACATGGGAGAGTTTTGCTCTCAAATTGAGCGACTCGGTGTCGATGATGAGTTGGACGAGGACTTATTGGAAATCTTGGGCTTAGACATTGAATAAATAATATATGTATTTTTGTATTGAGCTGAGTGACTTTTTTATATGCACTCCCATTCAAACAAGAGTAGTACGAATCGTGCAATCTTTCCCGAACTTCACTTTTTCCGAAACGTGCAAACATTTTCGGACAGAGGTAGTACGAAGTATAAGTAGATACGCCGTCGTCATTCAAAGTAATTGCTCGTGGAGGGCAGACGGCTTATCAAGCAGCACATCGTTGACGCTGCGGAACATTGAAGATGATGTACGATGCATCGAAACCACCATTCGTCCTTTTGCGAACGAAGGTTGGGACAAATAAGGCAGCGAAGTTACGCCGACGCTTGCACAAGTTACGAAATGGTGTCGACACCAAATTGGTCAAAATTATTGGTACAGAGCTTGTCGATTCATATGGATAATACGTAATCCGTGCATTATGGTTAAAAAGAGAAGCGTGTGCATCCCATGAGTTTTGAATCAGTCAGGAGCAGCTTGTCAGTCTCGGCGTTAAGCGAACCAAATGTATCGTACTGGCAGTTCTTAGAAGATATATACCATTTGAAGAACGGCCTCGACAATTGGCTATCGTTTTACAACGCTCAAGTCGCGGCATGCAGCGACAACATGAAGGAAGTAGAAGTCGCCGCATCATTCTCGAATAGAGAGATGGACACAATGCGGCACCTTACGAAACTGCGTGCCGCCGATGTCGTGTGCGCTGTACAACGAACATCATCCATGAAAGCAAAACGGTTTACCCCAACAACAGCTCCGTATTTTCCTGGGCATCTACAGCAAATTACTGAAGCGATCAGCCGTGGGTTCCTGCGACGCCAGTGCGAAATTGTCTAACGTTAGAAATAGTGTGTATGAATAGTGAACTACATTCGTCACGAAATTTGAATTGCATAAATGAATTAGCTATCGACTACTCGTCTTTGGTGGTACTTTGTGGAAGGAATTTCAAGCTGCCGTCGCTGATGGCTTTGGTGACAAGACGTACATCCTTCGCACTCAATAGGCGAATCCAGTCACCTTCGTCGGCGATCCTACCATTTTGACAGGCAGGAAGAGGCCGGAATAGAGCTCACGCGGCCGTTTCAGCAACGACGTGCTGCTCATGGATTCGAGCGTGTTGTCCCATGTCTTTGAGGAGCTTCGTGTATTGCCCTAGTAGCTTCTTCTTTTGATGCCCAAATTGGCGTCGGTCACACGCTCCACGGTATTCTGCGGAAACATAGTCGAAGCCCGATCCTTGTAGCCTTGTTTTTCACTTGCTGGGAGCTCCTTCCACTTTCCACTATAATTTTGCTTCACGAAGTTGGCATCGGGTTCAGTTTGCTTGAGAGCTACGAAGTATATTAACATGCATGAACTAGTTGGTATGCCATCCGAGGTACCTTGGGAAACATCCTTCATTTCCAACATGAAGAGATCGTATCCAGTCTTTTGCTTCGCTTTTTTCGCGTATTTGCTTCCAATGCATTAGGTATGCCAGGTCGTGATGGCTTGGACCACTTACCTTCGCGCCTGCAACATGTGCATTGACTCCCCGCTGGCCTCCGGAGACTCTTGTTGCTTGAACGTCGTTTCGATGGCGGTTACCATAATTTATCCGCATAGTAATCGTATCCGGTGGGCTATTTCTGTGTGAAAAAGGGTAATCGAAGGTGAGGTTTGAACCCACGAAATTCTTCCTAGCACAATTTCAGTCCAAGACCTTGACCGTTACACTACATGTAGATGTTTGGACCCAGTCAAGTTGAGACGCCCAGCCACGAGATGGCCATTGACGTTAGAGCATTCAGATTTCAGGTTGTCATGGAAAAGGTGGAGGTTGGATCGAGGAGGTTGGCCGGGAGCAGTTTGTACTAGAGGCTGACCCCTGGGTCGCAATGGAAGTGTCAAAATGGGTGACAGACTCGTTGTTTTGGTCATTGTCGACGACAACACGGCCCGAGTCCTGGTACCAACGTGCGAGGCCAATGCAGGTAACGTCAATGTTTCCACTGGCATGAATGTCGGCGAGGTGGACCATGGCCCAATACATGTCCTCATCACCAGTAAACATCGTTTCCTTGATGCGCCACAGATCCGCCGCTCCCATGCGGGGCGTCATGAGAACATTCAGAATCGTCGGGTTCTTGATAGAATGCACTGCGCGGTGGGTTGGGATGACTTCAATGGAGAATCCCGTGGAGACCATGATGGCCCATCGAATGCTATAGTAGGGGTGGCGGATGTGGCAACAATCACCTCTATTAGCGCCATAACAAGACCCAGGTCGAAGGGCGACACAGTCAACTCGTTACCATCATACATCTCACAGGTGATGGGTTGAAGGGTGTTGGAGTGTTGCTAAGCTCGGACGAGTTCAGCCACATCCTTAGCACGTGATGCCTTAGCTCTTTCAACATGCGTGGAGCAGTGGCGTATAGATTCGTCAGTGTTAGCATGTTGATCGCTGTAGCCCACGCTGCAGAACTGTGGGGCGAGGTTACACGCGGGGCTGACTTCGTACATGCCAGCTAGGGTCAACAGGACAGGGGGTACAGGTAGCGTCGGTTAATTCACTGTCAACCAACCACCGAAAGAAATTTCGAGTTGAACACACACATAATACATGTACGAAGCAATAGGTATTAGTAAAACTTGCCAATTGTGAACCATTTTGTAAATCGCCAACAAATAGCCGCATTGATATGATTGGTTAAGGGGTCTGGTTGCCACGAAAAAAGAAAAGTTACAAAATCGAAATATTTGACTTTTTGAGATTTCGTGCGTCTGGATGAACTAACAGTAAAGCTCGAAAATTTATGCTACAATTAATTGTCTTGAAATTCGGGTGTTTTATGGCATAGAAAAATGTACTGATTTGGTCCAACTTTTTTACGGATGTTTGTGTGCACGTTGACTGACAGTTAAGTCTTGCACTTCCATCGGAAACCGAATAATTTCTCCAACATTCAACTCGCATTTAGACAGCTTCGTGGATACTTCATTTCCCTTTATTCCATGGGATACAGTGTATGAGACTTTGGGAATTTTTTGTAGACTTGGTAGAACAGTTTATGGCATAATTTTATCCTACATACTTCCTCCGTTCCGTAAAGGTGGAGACATGTTGTTCGCAGTACCATTTCTCTGGCAAAAATAATCGAAATAGTCTCCAAATGATTCAAAGTGTAGCCAATTGCAAGACGAACATCCGACTATTCTTAGATTTTTTTTATTGCATCATCTCACTTCGAAACCAATCGTCAAAGTTTAGTGATACACGCATCATTAAACATACGTAACTTCGTCAATTCTTGTCCAATCGAGCTCAAATCAAGCGCAAACGACTGGTCTCGATGCGTCGATATGGTGAGCACCCCTCAGAACAGAATTTCTAGGAGAGAAGTTACGAAGATGTCACGTACCACGACCAAACACGACGTACCCCACGACGACCGGGTCCGTTTGTATCACGAGCTGTTGGAGCACAAGGATGGCGGCCGCCTTCCCCATCGAAAGGCACACGAGCTGCAGCAGAAGTACGGCATATCTAGACAAACCTTGTCTAAGATCTGCCGACGTGGACAGGAGACCAGGGCACTTACTGGTCTCGCTATCGTTTCCGTTCGGAAGAAAGGACGATCTGGCAGGCTACCTACACGCACGTTAGATGACTCAGAGGCAGCGATCAAGAACGTCCCACCACACTTGCGTATGTCCCTCGTCATGTTGGCATCTACCAGAGGCATTCCGAAGACCTCGCTTTGGCGTCTCTTTAAATCGAAGAAGCTCAAGCGACGGACGAGCCGCACCAAGCCCATGCTGACTGACACGCACAAGGAGGCCTGCACCGTGTTCGCTCGTTCGTTTCTTCGCGAGGCAAGGAACCAAATGCACTGGCACGATATGTTGGATCGCGTCCACATTAACGAGAAATGGTTTTATATCACGTTGATCAACCGGCGGTACTATCTCTGGCACGACGAGCCCGTACCTGTGCGCAATTGTTCGTCCAAGAGGCACATAGTCAAGGTCATGTTTTTGACTGCGGTTGCAAGGCCTCGCTACGACAGTGCAAGGAAGTTGACTTGGGACGCCAAGATCGGGATGTGGCCGTTCGTCACGAAGGCGCCAGCGCAGAGAACAAGCCAGAACCGTGTGTGAGGGACAATTGTGACAACACCAATGACTGTGACGAAGCTGATCTATCGAGATTTCCTGTTGCATCATGTCATCCCCAGCATCAAGCTGCTGTGGCCCAGTCGACGCGACAAGTCAATCTACATTCAGCAGGACAATGCCCGCCCGCACGTTGGACTGGACGATCTCGCAGTGGCAACTGCCGGTTGTTCCGATGGATGGCATATCCAACTGGTTGCACAGCATGCGATCAGCCCTGACTTGAACGTTCTCGACCTGGTTTTTTTTAACTCAATTCAAGCGCTGCTGCATCGACAAGTCGTCACTGGTATTGACGATCTTATCGTGGCTGTTCATGGTGCGTTCGACGAACTCGATTTCCGTGTGCTCGACAAGACGTTTATGACCCTTCAAAAGGTTATGGAAGAGTCTTTGAAGATGGACGGGGACAACACGTACAAATTGCCTCATTTGCACAAAGACAAGCTCATAACACATGGACCGATGGACCGGTGAGCCCTCGCTTAGAATGTGACCGAGATTTAATCTGTGCCATCGAAGTAATGAAAAGCCGTAAAGACTTTGAGCGTAGAGTAGATAACCTATCAAGTGTGCTTGCGTCGTGTTCGATTAAGGGTTCGATCAATATTCCAATATTGATCAACTCTGCACAGTGGTTGATGATATGAGCACTGTCGCTGACGACTAAGAATGAATCACATCATGTTTACTTTCGTCGTGAAAGTCCCAAATTGAATAAAAATACAGTTTTGATGGGCTTCGAGCATACAAATACAAAGATAAAAAAAAAACAAAAAAAGTTGTCTCCACCTTTTTGGAACGGAGGAAGTATACGTATAGCACTTCGAAGTTCTAATAATATTTTTGAAGAATTGGGCAGAAAACGGACACCCAACTCACTGTTACTCAGTAGTTGTAAGACAAACCTGCGAGCGACTACACCCGTGTACAATGTATACATACTCCGAGTATGTCGCACGTTGCGGTACAGTGTAGCCCAGCTGGTGAATGTGTAGTTGGCTGAGGATACAGTATGGAGAGACTCGAATACGAGGCCTACGCGCTCACGTGTTAATTAATGCTGCAAATTGGATAATGTTATCCATGGAATTCCCACTTTTTGTCGTAAGTACTTAAGGTCATTTCGCGGACATTTGGATTTGGGCGATTCAAGAACCGCCCATTGAAGTGCTTAAGGTCATGTCGCGGACATTTGGATCTGGGCGATTCAAGAACCGCACATCGAAATTTTGAGTACTGTACTTGGGTAGAACGAACACACATGGTGCCAATACTACTAAATGGGACAGAGGAAGTACTTCAATAGTACATACTCCCGGAGTACTACGTAACTACAAGACTCGCTCGCATCAGTCCTTGCAATGATTGACATGCATTGCTGTACTCTGTAACTTAGCAAACTTTATGTACAACGAGGCAGATTTAGTGTTTATTCTCATTTCGACCCATATTAATGCTAAATCTGTCCCAGATTAACTGTAAGCTTGCGTTTTGACAGAGTTTAAATGATGAGAAGCTGAGTTACATAGTGCTTAAATATGACTGCCAAATACTTCGAAGTACTTCGAAGTAAGTTGCAAAGCACGATAATAACGTTACTGCAATACTGCAAGGTACTTCGAAGTAAAACTGTACCGTTACAAAAATCATAGGACATGCCCGCCACTTGTTCAGGTGCGGTGATGTCTCAACCGAATGCTGGCAAGGACCTTTGTGTCGACATCGCCTGCGAATTCACTTGAAGCTTCTAACCAAAATTGAGATTAATTGTGCGGCGAATCATTTTTAAGATATTTTTGATATCGATCCATCTGGCCGGTTCAGCCAACCACAATGGAGTACGCCGGCTCGACTTCACCAGATTATCCCGTGTGTGCCGTCGCGACTATTTCTGGCATAACGTTAGGTACAATCATATTTCAACTTGCTCCATCGACGCTCGAAGACCATGCTGCGACAACCTGCATGCCTGGCGCTAGTGGCGGCGTGCTGCCTCCAACACACCTACGCTCAAACCACGCCGTCGGTGTGTGCCAGCGCCGACTTCTCCATCCAACCCGCCATTTCTGTGGGTCCTTTGACAGTGCGCACCCTCGTAACTGAAACGCACATCTGCTTCGAAGTGAACATGGCGAGCCCCACGGCCAAGTGGACCGCGCTGTCGCTCTCTGCTTCGTCCAACATGATCAACGAACCCAATAACAATGCCGTCATATTTGATGCTGCGAAGAACACTGCCCAGCTGCACGTTCTCAAGGGCTACTCGAGTGCAGGCGTCCCTGTGCAGACGGATCAATCGGGGCTCGTGGTCAAGAAGACAAGCAGTGCCAACGGCGTGCTCTCGTTCACGTTCGAGCGGACGTTGGCCGCGCCATCCGTCTACGACGTCGACATCGACCCCGCCGTGCCGACCAACTTGCTCTGGGCCTACGGCAACACTGCTTGGCCGTCTTTCCACACTGAGCGAGGCGCGGTCAAGCTGGCACTTGGCTCTGGGGCACTTATGGACAGTGCTCCGGACGCAGGATGCTACGGCACGACGGCGATCATCGGCGCCATCACGTTTGCCCTCATGGCCTTGTTGGGGCTGGTTGCCACGCACGCGGGCAGTGGCTGGCGCTTCATCAACCAACGCACCGTGTTCCCGCCGACGCAGCACCGCGCCCCGTTGCCTTGGATCTCCCATGCCATTTCGGACCTCAAGATCGGAGAAGCCATCGTCGTGATCTTGTACGTGGCGTGCGTCGTCGCGGTGGGGGTGAGCGTCCAGGTCACGTTTCCGACTGCCAGCGCCAGCCGCCTCGCGTCGTTGGTGTCTGGCCACATTGCGTTAGTCGCGCTCATGTTTTTGCTGCTGCCGGTGGCCCGCGGCCAGCACTGGGAGGTCGTGTTTGGCACGTCTCACGAACGCATAATCAAGTTCCACCGGTGGCTCGGCCGCGTCTGGTTTGTTGCGGGTACCGTCCACTTGGTCCTCACCGTCCTCAGCGTGAACGTGACGTCCACCAACCTGTACGGGAGTCAGCAAGTGGTGCCGCTCTATGGCTTCGTGGCGTTCGTGTCGTTTGCGTCGATGGCGCTACTCGCCATCGACTACATCCGGCGCACGTACTACGAAGTGTTTTACTACTACCACCGCGTAGTGTCGGTCGTGGGTCTTGTGTTTGCGCTGCTCCATAGCAAAGCTGTGCAATACGCCATGATCTTCCCGCTGGTCGTGTACGGTGTCACATATCTCTACCGCCTACGAACGTATTTCAACCGGTATGCCACCGTGCCCAAGGCCCACGGCTCCAACACGGTCGCCCTGACGCTACCCGCCTCGGCTCAAACGGCCAAGTGGGTGCGCACGTCCAACCCGTGCGCGTTCTTTTGGATTAACATTCCCCAAGTGTCGCTCTTGCAGTGGCATCCATTCTCGGGAATTGTTACTCCGGATGGCCAGTCGATTTCGTTTCGCATCAAGGCGCACGCCCCCGGCTCGTTCGTCGACAACGTGTACAACTACGTCAAGGCCCACGAAGGCGCGCCATTGACGGTGCTCGTCGACGGCCCACATGGAAAACCAGCGATCGACGTCTACAAATACGACGCCGTCGTGTTGGTGGCTGGAGGCATCGGAATCACCCCCATGCTCGATTTGATCAACCGGCATCGCCAACAGCAACCGACGCAACAAACAAAGTTCTACTTGCATTGGGTCGTCCGCGCCGCAGACGACCTTCTCGCGGTGGAAGACCTCCTGTTTCCGCTGCCCCCTGGCGTCAAGGCTACGTTTTACGTCAACGACGGCGGGACCGGCGACAGCAGCGTGCAAATTTACACGGGCGAGTTCATCGCGTACAAGCGGGGTAAGCCAGTGCTCGACGAATACATCAACACTTCGCGATTCCACGAGGCCAAAGTTGGTGTCATGGCGTGCGGCCCCCCGCGGCTTGTCCAGGAAGCGCAGTGGCGCAGCCACAATTGCTGCTTCGACTTTCACAAAGAAGTGTTTCTCTTGTAAAGCACCCAGAACATTTTGACTCAATTATATATAAATACATGGTGAAATCGATAGTCTCTGGTGTTTTGGTTTGTCGACTTTCAATTGGGGGGGTTCGTGTATGGTGCATGCACAACAGCTCACTCAACACACACACGGTAACTTTAGTTATATTTGAAGCCCCATATTGTTGGCAACCAAATCCATGCATGTGGCAATCCAATTTGGTCGCGGTTTCTTGAATGACACTATCGCCTGGGGCGATCGGGATAGTAGGGACACTTCGTTAACTCATTTGCATGAACTGGGTAGCTTGTATGCATAGTGCTATTTCGCCCAGGTGTGGAATTCAATGGACAAGAAAGATACTAGTACATACCAACTACTACTCAGTATTAACGTTAGATGTACAGTAGAGCTCTTCGTTGGACGGAAACGAGTTGCCCTCCGTGGCATGGCAGTTGTCGTCATAACGTTACCAGGTCCCGTCGAACCACGTAGAAAAGGTGTCGTCCAAGACAAGATCGTCAAGGTCAATATACTCAAGCCCCGAGTCATGGAGGGCAGCGCCTTGAATGCTGTTCGCATCGAAGTTGCTGGCCACCACCAGAAATTCAGGGGTAGCTACAACGACCGACTTCAGGTGGCGGCGACACATTGAAACATTGCGAGCCGTGGCGTAACAGCCAGTGTGGACGCATACGGAGCCCCCCAGATCGAATGTGGTTGCTACAGCCTTCCATGGTGCACAAAATCGCCCGAGCTCCGTGAGCCACACATAGGCGCCTCGATTGAGCCGGTATTTTTCATGTCGACACTGCAGCGCCAAAGGCGTCTGTGACGGTCGCACTTCACTTTCCGCCCTGGCAACGTTCAAAGCAGCACTTGGTGGTCGCAGGCATTAACAAGGTAGTCATAGCGAGGCAGATGCTGGGGTCGCTGGTTTTGAGGGCAAATTGCGAAGTGAGTATAACGTTATGGCACAACCACTTCGTCAGAAATTCAGGGGGAATTTCTACATTTGTACATCTGTACAAGTGCTCAATAGTCCAAGTAAGACTATAAGCAAGGCACTTGTCCTTGGTGATAACGTTCGTATTACAGTGTACAAGTAGTAAATATGTGACTACGCTCTATGCTTCGGGATGGACCAAGAGGCTGCTTGCTGCGGAAGTAAACATGTGAAGGCTAACGCCTAAAGATTGGAGCCACTTGTGTCGTACCAAAGCTACTCTATAGAACAAACTTGACTTCCTCCCTCGTCAGCACTTTCTCGTTAGTTTGAAGTTCCATGGTACCTGTTCCTAATATGGTACGACACAAGCTACTCTATAGAACTTGACTTCCTCCCTCGTCAGCACTTTCTCGTTGGTTTACTCCAGAATGGCGACATGATTAAAACCTGAGGTTTTATGGCACTATGAATACTAGTACACAAAGTTCCATGGTACCTGTTCCTAATATGGTGATTACAGCAAGAGCTTGTTAAAGCTGCGTTGGGACCTTGTACGAGGGAGTCGTACTAACGATCAATATATCCACGTGTGAATGTTCCACCAAGCGCAAATGCTCCTCGACATGTATGCACACCATTTTTGTAACGCCAGGTCACATCACGTGTAGATATACCAAAAACCACGTGCAAATATGCTTTTCCCGAGGGATTCTCTCAAAAGTGGTACAAGTCACATATACGCAGAGACTGACTTTCTTGCCTACTTCAGTGTCAAACACCTCGTGTTGCTCACCTTGGCGGCCCGTCCGCACAAGATGGGCAAGTAGCTAGTGTTCTGCACGGGCGTGGTCAAGTAGGGCTGTCTATATACCAGTATAATACAGCATCAGAGGTGGTGGCAGTGCCCAATCAATCCTTTAGATCTCATGAAAATCAACTGCAGTCACAGTCAAGAGGGTGCAGGTCACACCACGCCTAGCAGTGAATACCTTCGTCGCTTTACAACTACCAATAACTACAATAGACAATCAGGACATAGTAGCGAGTGATTGCATCTACTCAACAGCCAACACTTTGTTGTATGTCGTCGACGCCAGCACATCACGGCAACAATGGACTGGCTGGCTTCAAAACGACATGCAAAGTATGGCATGCATATACATTGTACATCGATAGCTAGCACCTTGCATTGTTATTTCCGTGTACTGTGGTGATGGAAGCACCAACGACCCCGTAGCTTCATACAGGGTCAGTCGCGTCGGGCGACCCGTCACTTCGATTACAACCCGTTGGTGGCGGCGTTCAAGGCTTGACTTGGTTCACTGGTGGCGGTGGCAGACCCCAAGAACGTCGTGTCACTGTGGATCAGGCCTTGGCGTACGTTCCGGATGCCACACGAGAGGTCGTGGACAAACTGGCGGCGTCCGGCATGGCAACGTTCATTGACTTAAACGACAATTACTACTCGGCGCCTTAACCGTGGTAATAATAGTAATATTGTACACTTGGTTGTACCCCTGTACGTGACCTTTGGTTGACGCTGTAGATGATGGTCACCACACCCGCCACGTGAGTTTTGGCTTGCATACAGTGATTCCTCAATGTACAACGTACACATTTTGTACACATAATTCAACATACTACGGCACGAAGGGCTCTCGCTACGTACATGGGACTGGTGCCAAGCATCAGTGGTTTTGGCCAAGGAATGGCCGAGATACAGTAGTTTGTGTGTGTCAAGGGCATCCCTAGCGGTGGCACTAGTCCATGAATACGGATACTGTAGGTCGAGGTAGAGTAATCCAAAATGCATCTATGATCGCATGGCCAAAATCATGTGGGTGGGATTCACGCTTACTGTGTCGTAACTTACAGAGGCCGACAGCATCGAGTGACGTTGTAATTTTCATATCGAATTATACAAATAAAGTTAGCGAGTATACTGTTACTCGGAGTAATTCTATAAATTCATCAAAGTGAAATTATACGTTTTAAGAGGTTATTATTGTGAAGGTGATTTAACTAGAGTGCACAATCGCTTTCGGCATCATTATCACTGCCACTCTGCGCCGAAGACTCCTCGTCGGATTGTAAGCCGTCAATTGCCAGCAAATGTTCGTACAGCTTCTGCAATTTCCCCTCTGCAGCTTTGCTACAGCCTTGAATAGTCCGGCTTTCAACACTTCGAACGCTTCTTCGAGTTGTTCCTTCACATCCGCAAGCCCCGTACCATCAGTGTTGCGGCGACCAACATGTCCTTTCACATTCGCCCACACCAGCTCAAGTGGTTGCAATTCGGAGGGATAGGGCCGCTGGCACTGAGTTTGTGGGCGGATTGTGCAGAGATGTAGATGTCATGCAAGGTGACGGCAGTGTTGTTGCGAGCGTAGGTGTGACGTTATCGGTTGGGGTGCCTGTAGCGGAAGGTAGATAGGAGTCCGATACTCTGCATCCACCGCTGGAAAGCTGTGCCGATGTCCAGACTGGGGCCTGAGCGGGGTTGTGGGGCAGATCGGTCGAGGGGGTTGGTGCCGTAGGTTTTGAAGTCTCCCCCCATATGATGACAGAGTGGTGGTGCCCAGGGATTTTTGTGGTGGCCTGGGTGAGCCATTGCCATTCCTGTTCGGTCGTCTCGCTGTGAGATGCGGGAGAGTCTTGAAAATATGTGCCAATGAGGGTTAAAAGGGAACCTTTGCCAAAGCGGATACAGATGGAAATACTGCGCCCCAACGGGGAGTAGGTTGTACGCCGGGCATCGATGCGTGAGTGCCAACGTTGAATGTCATATAAAATGCTGACGCGGTGATTACTAATGGCCATGAGGTGTGGAGTGGGGGAGCCACTAAGTCCAGAGTTGAGTGGCCTTGTGTGCGGGAAGGTCAGAGTCAGCGATGATGAGGAAGTCCAGTGCGCTAGCGCGGAACCAGGTGGCCAATTCATCTCCCAGTTTACCATACGTGTTTTTATTGATGTTGGTGGCTGCGATAAGCAGGCTATCTAGCAGGAGCCCCGGTGGAGGCGGATGACCTGGGTCGCCAATGTACGTTTCGCCCTTGAGTGATTCACGCCAGAGGATGTTGTCGAGTTGGTGTCTGGCAGTGTCCGCGTCAGGTGGGGGGAGGGGGAGGCGATGGATCCTCCATGCGCGTCGTCGGCGGCGTTGCCGCGGGGGGTTGATGTCGAGGGTACTCGGCGGGAGAGGATTTTGTAGTGCTTCCGCAATGCGGGCATCGAGGAGTTCCGAGTTGTTGGAGTCATCCGAAGAGTACGGATCGTGTAGGTGGCTGAATGCGGGGGCGGGGTGGGACGGTGTAGTGATGGATGGTGGTAGGGGTGATGTCGGTGATGGAGAGAGGGTGGCAGCGGCCAGGGGGAGGTAGCATGAGATCCAGAGCAGAAAGCTGAGGAGCCACCACGATCCAGACCAGAGGCGTTGCCGAGGTGTCGTTGGTCTGACCCAACACCCCGGGGTTAGTTTGACGCCACCTGATCCTCCGGCTCAGTGCCCATGGTGTCGTCTGGTTCTTGTCCTCGGGTCGGTAGTGCATCCTCCACAGTGCCCGGGAGGGTCCCAGTCTTGGTGGGAGGGTGGCGGATAGGCTGCCAGTGCTGACATTTGAGACGATACGGACTGCATGGCCTGGAGTAGTGTGTGGACGCTGGATTCGAGGTATGGGAGACGTGCAGTTAAGGCAGCCTGTTGGGACTCGTGTTGTGTGACCACAGTGTTCAGGCGGATGCGTGCCTCCGCGCTTAAGCGGTTGTCCTCGGCTTGGAGAAGTTCCGCGGCTTCTCGTAGGCGTCGTTCCTCTAGGAGGCGCGCGTCCAGAGTGGAGAAAGCAGCACTGGAGGCTGATACAAGTGCAGCCAGGGACTCTTTGTCAGCGCGGAGGGACTCAACCTCCTGTCGGAGTAGGGTCGTGGCCGATACTATGCGTTGGTTCACGTACGTGGAGACCTCACGCCGGAGGTAGAGATTGAGGTCCGTGGTGTGTCCGGGGACCTGCTGTGGGTGGCGCTGAAATGGGAGTTGCCAGGCCTGGGTTTGGTGCTGGTGTTGTTGGTGTTGGCCTTCCGCGGCGGGGTGTTGGGGGACTGAATGTGTGTGGTGTCCCGCATGGCGGTGGCGCCTTGCACTGCGTGTGCGTGTGTCGGGGCTACGTAGGTCCCTGCGAGTGGAGGTTGTGTGTTGGGAGTTACTGCGAGCGCGATCCCGTGGGTCCAGATAGGTGAAGCGGTCACAGGGTCGACCCTCGTGGTCGTGTCGGCCACAGTCCCGACACTGTATCGGCGCAGCAGACCGTCGGGGGCGACCGGTGAGAATGTGGAGGTGTGGGCCAGAGGAGGACCAGAGGAAAGCTATGGGTGCTGGAGTGTCAAAAGTGAGGGTGGCATAGCCGTCCCCTGTGATATCGACGTCTGGGGTGGGGAGGTGGGAGCCGCGAAGCGCAGCGAGGATGTCGTCAGTAGTGGTAAGTGGTGGGAGGCGAGGCGGAAGCGGTATTGGCCTTCCGAGGGCCAGTTAATACAGCCGATGGCAGCCCAGTGGTCGCGTGGGCCATGTGTTCCGGACATCCGGGTATGGCTTTGGACGATGGCGTCAGTTACCCCAAGGGCGCGGAGGGCGCACATGAGGTCACCAGGGGAGGTTTTGGATGGATTGCGGTATTCAAGCGGTATTCAAGCTGGTGGAAGGAGAGGCCGTTGTCGAGCACACCGGCATATTGGTAGATCATAACTACAGAGATGTCGCGGAGAAAAAAGATACCCACGTCGTGGTGCTGCCCAGGCCTGGATGGTGCGTTGGAGGGGGTCCCTGAGGAGCTACTGGCCGTGTTCGAGGAGACCCTCCCCGGAAGGTGAGGCCGAAGTGTTCCTGACAGACATCCTCTATCTCGCGTCGGTAGTTGATGATGCTGAGTTGGTCGTTCTGAGGCTGGAGTGACGGGTTGATGGAGAACTGGATACGGACTTTGGTATCGGCGAAGTGTCGCTCTACGTCGGTAATGTCGTCCGCGGTGAAGCCTTGGAAGAGGTGTGCCTCCCGCTCCCAGTACCGTTGCATGGTGCGATACAGGATTGGCTGTCCTTCGTCGTGCAGATTCCGGATGCCCGGAAACTGGAGGGCTGTGTTGGCGTCATACTCCTCCTGGTCGTCGTCATCGATAGTAGTGTCGGCTACTTCCTGCGCATCTGCCCAGGTTCATAGGAGCTTGGTTGGTAGTGCGGGGTGGGCGGATAACGCATTTCGTGGTGTCTCTTTGTCGGCGGAGGTGGAAGGAGGGGTGGGAAAAATCCAGGTCGGGTTCGATGTCGGAGTGGTGGCGTTTGACTGGTGGTGGTCGGGTTGGGTGTGAGCCAGTGTGGGGGAAGGGATGGGTGTGGGTGTGTGCCGGGCCAGGTGGTGTTGGGGCCGGGGATGTAGGCATATCCTCGAAGGTTGGATGGGTGGTGCTCTGTGTCGGGTTGGGCTCGGGATGCTGCATTTTTAAGGCCGTCGGGCGTAGTGTGCCCAGTGCACTTGTGTCCGTTGGCGTGGTTGGGCGTTCCGGGCCAACTGGGGAGATGTCGGTGATGGGATGGGGTTGTGGAGTGGGATGTCCCGATGGGTGGGGACTAGGGAGCCGAGTGATGTGTCTTGACTGGGGCTGAGGTAGTCAGCTTGGGGAGGGTATGTGGTGGTCCAGAGCGTGACACGTGGGGCGTCATGGTTGGTGGTGGTGTAGCTGGGGCGGGACATGGGGGGCCGGGTGCTGGTGCAGGAGTGGTCGAGGGCTGTACATCGGACGGAGCAGGCTGTGGGGGAGTGAGCTGCGTGAGGGAGTAGGGTGTGCACTCACATGGCGGTGTGTGAATTGTAGTGGAATCGGTTTGCTTGGAGGACGAGGCAGTGGCCTTATGGGAGGTTTGGTGTGATTGGCTTGTCCCAAGGGTTGGGATGGCAGGCCTGGTTGCCTGTGGAGGCCCATGGTAGTGTGTAATGGGTGCTGATATGGGCGGAGTGATGTATGAAGTGGAGGTGGGGAGGGTGATGGGATGGGGCGCTAGGGTGATAGGAGGGGATCGACGCCATATGTCCGGTAGGGAGCTCTGTGTAGATGAACCTTTGGCCGACCTGGAGGGCTGAAGGGGAGTGAGAATCGTAGCGGATGGTATAGTTGGACGAGGCTGGAGTGATGGAGCTTGGCCCGGGTGGTTGGCGGTGTTTGGCTTGCGTGTCTGTCTAGCTCGGATAGGTCTGTCATCCTCGGAGAGGCCATCTGGGGCGGAGCTGGGCGTGTCGGGCCGGGTGGGGCGACGATTCTTGTGGGTGTGGTGCGTCCGTGGAGCAGACCGCGGGTTCCTGGTGCGGTCGAGGCGAGCGAGGAACGTGTCGGCAGCACGCTTTGATCGAAGTTGGCATGCCGTGAGGGTCCACGGGACTGTCGGTGGTATCAGAGGCTGAGTCGTTTTCGGAGGAGGATGGGTGAGGTTGGCGGATGATGCCGGTTGCCGGCACCTGGATGGCCGTGGGGACGCCGTTGCGGTGTACAATGACGGTGGCCATAGGAGTTGGCATGGTCAAGGTGTTCGACAGTGTCGGAGGTATGGCTGGTGCTTGCCGGGGTCCGGCGGAAGCGAGGCCATGGACGTTGTTGTAGCTTGTAGGTGTGCTCGGGGCGCCGCGACCCAACTGCGGGTTACCAGGTATATTTGGGAATTCATGTACAGTACAGTATATATTATATATATGTACGGTTCGTGGGTTATGTTAGTATGTACTATATCAAGACGATCACTTTTGTTGACTTCGTAAATGCACTAACGTTAACAGAAAGCTCCTACTTAATCTACCGCCACTCAAACAACTAATGCCGTCATACTCAGCGATTCATCGTACTCTCAATATCATGTTTCCATAGTGATTAGTCGTCGTTTTGTAAGCTCTACTTCGACATCGAATGACGAATGGTCGATGCGAATTTCACAGCATCACTAGCTAAAGTTAATGGTTTCGGTTGACTGGGGCCGACACCCAAGGTTCCAAGTCAAAATGAGGAAGTGATGGGAGGTACTACCACAAATACGCAAGCACTATGATATCGGGGCATTGGTTGTTTGCCCGAGGCATACATGCAGTTGCCCAGACTTTAGGCATTGGGCATTGTGTTAACTAATATAAACACGAATAACAGGGTACTTATCGCCGTATACTGGAAGCCGACATGGACTAGGAATCTAGGAGTCGCTGTAGAAAAGCCCAACCAGTGAGTTGCTGTAAACGATCTATCTATCAGTAGCTAGTGGACAGGCTTGACCCATGTGATTACTGGGTTTATGCCAAATCGCAAAACTAGTAACGTTAAGACGGGTGTCTCCACTGATGCTTTTACGATGCGGTACATAACGTTAGCCGCAGCCTGTGGCAAGGAATGTAGAAATGGGAATAGGTGTATGTATACGTATATCCTATTGGTCAATTATTTTCACTTTTCTATCAAATAAATCGACAAGACCATTGTCTGATTATTGGGTAGTTAGGAAAACTCTTACGAACCCCCCCCCGGACTTGATTTATTATACTTCAAGTAAGTACGTGGAGATTCTATGAAATACAGTAGAAGTAATTGCTAGCAGTACGTGATGACATCGCCAGTTTCAACTAACATACTAGGTAGTACTACGCAGTACTAGTATAACATAACGTTATCGAAGTACTAACAGTAAGCTTAGTGTGACCCAAGGGGATGCTAGCCATCGTCCCCATCCGCAAACTAACTGCGCAGTGTGTACTACGTAGTATATACGAACCAGCTCCACATTCATTCCACCTTGATATACTTACATGAAATTGACTCGGGTGTGCCATGTTGCTATAGTACAGTACAGACGTTACTCAGCTTGCTGGTGTTGAATTGCCTTGAGTTGCTTGCTGCATTCGATTTATTAATAACTACTACCAACGTAAAATACCGATGTTTATCTACCCATAGAAAAGGGCAACAATTGATCCCCGGGCATAATTCGCGAAAAGTTGCTCAGTGTTTTGTCTCCCGTTTCTTCTTGGCTTTCGGTAACAGGACCTTCGTCAGGGTAGCAAATATAACACTAACATTAGTGAGGCTAAACGCGCCGCGAGGCGCCTTCTGACTACCATTCACTAAAGTACTCATTGCCCCAACTAAGGTATCGGAACCTTTGACACCGCACACACACAGAGTGTGTGTGTTTGCAATGGGTTAAAGTAATGCGCGACCCAATTACTCTGCACGCTACAGAACACTTCCCCTCCTACGGAAAATCCAGTGCCTTGATGAGGGTGGCCACAGCAGGATCTTCTTTGTTGGCTGCCGCCCACTTGCGAAATACGACTGGAATGTCGTCCAGCAAATTCGCCGCAGGTTCCCAGGACGATTCTTCATCGTCGAGTCCAAGCCACTTCACCAAAACTTGGTTTTGGCCATCCACGCATCGCGCTTCGTCCAGGCGATCCACGTGAAATCTGTCTGTGCCTCGAGGTCTTCGGTCACCTCTACCACCTTCGTGGTACATCATCAATCGACATGCATGATGGACCGTGACTTCGTACGGTGGCACCAGCTGCTGAGTCTCCATCACATGGTCTGTGATGCCTCTGGTAACTTGGCAGGCAGGGTCCGCGCCAATGAAGGACCAATTTTGTCGGACGGTTCCGACAAGCCAAAATTGCCGAACGAAAAACCCGCAAACTTGACTTGGGATTTTCGGTCGCGGCGTCCGCGCGCTTGCTGACGGAATTTGTCGCTTCTCACCGCAACGTTGCGGTGCATTTCTCCAAGCACCACTTGGAGGTCCGTCAAATGTTGTTGACGGGCGTCACCAAGCCAGTCCGCGACGTAAACTACCTTGGACGTGAGGTGGACAAATCCCGCCAGCGGGGTCTTAGCTTGCAGACCAGTAAACGAGGTCACATGTGCAATTCCTCCCAGCCGGTCCGCCGGCAGATGGTTGAGGGTACCTTGGACGAGGGGAAACACTTGCGGCCATTCGTCCGCGTTCAGCTTCATTTCGCCGAGCAGCGCCTTCACGGGGCGCTGCACTAGTCGGTTAACTACTTCTACAGTCCCGTTCGCCCATGGACTGTAGGCTGTCGTGATGTGATGGTGGGCACCCACCAACTTCCGCACCTTCTCGATCACTTCGTTCTTGAAGTGATAGCCGCCATCTGACACCCATGTGTCAACGCAGCTGAACGTGGTAAACCACGTCATCAGGCACTGCGCGGTTACGGCGGCGTCAGCGGACTCTACCGCGAACAGCTGCACAAAGTCACTCATGTCGTTCTTCACGACAAGCACTTGTTTTTGGCCAGATTTGGCCATGGGCATCGACAACCAGTCGAAATGGATGAGCTCGTTCGGCTTCTCCGCGTGAAGCGCTGAACCCAATGGACGGGGAACCATGTCTCCGTCAATGCACAGGCAGTTCAAACAGGGCACCCACAAACGCTTCGACGTCCGTGGAAAGCGTCGTCCACACAAACTTGTCTGACACCGACTTGGTCGTCGCTGCAATGCGACGGTGACCGCTGGCTCCTTGGTGAGCGATCACATAAACAGCACCGTCTGGGATCCAAATTCGTCCGTCTGGGTCCACATGCGCCAACACGTGTTTCACATCGTTGAAACACTGGGAGTGCAACACGCATTAACGCCGTTTTCTTGCAGTTTCCAGCTGCCTTGGTGGCCTCGTCAAGCAACGTCGCAACGGATCCACCAACTGGTTGTAACCAGGGATACTCGCACGCATCCTGTTGGTGGCACACACAAACTGTTGGAGGTCGGCCGCAGTCGTCGGCGGCGACAAATTCACGAGTCCTTAGATTCGGCTTGGGGAATGGGTGATTCCATCGGCCGAAATCACCTTGCCACACCACTCTGCCTCACGCAGAAAGAAATGACACTTCTTCGGGCTCAACTTGAGTCCAAACTGGGCACAGATCATAGATGGACAGGACTTGGTCCAACAAGTCGAGCAGCTCGTCCGTGATCTTGGCGGACCCCAGCAAGTCATCGAGTCAGGCCAACAGGCTTCGAAACAGCAGTTCACCAAACATTTCGGTGGACAACCGACTGGCAGTACGCGACAGCGTCCGTCTGTCCCATGAGCACGCGGGTCGGGGTGTACACGCCGAAGGGCGTCATGAACGAGAAGTACATTTGGCTGTCCGCATGTAGCGGCAACTGCCAGTACCCCTTGGTCCAGTGCAACGTAAAGTACACGTTCATCCCGACCAGGCACTATCCAGGTTTGGCATAGGCCAAGGCATCGGCTCCGTGCAGGCGTTGATCGGCCTGCTGTCGATCGTCATGCGCAAGTCGCCGACTTCCTCCTTCGGCACGATCCTCGGGGCTGCGGCCCACGTAGCCCGGTTGTTTTGGTATACCATACCATTTGCTTCCAGGGCATCCACATGGCTGCACATCTACTCCACATGAAGCGGCGGGTACAGCCGCATCCCACACTTCGCCAGCGTCGAGCCGGGTTTGATCCGGACTTCAATGGCTCGACCTTGACAGGCGGATCATCGCCTAAGACTTCACGGAACACATCAATGTGTTTGGTCAGTAGATCGTGCAGCCGCGTTTCTTCAGCGGGCGCAAGCCCGCCCTTCTCCCCCTCTGCTGCCTTGGCCGTCACAATGGCTTGAACGGCGCCCTGCTTCGTGCGGCGCCGCTCCGCTTCGTCCTCGACGGGGGTTTTGGGATAAACCTCCGGAGTAGCGCACTCCATCCTGTCGTCGGGTCAAGCTCCGGCGGATTCAACTTCTTCGCCATCAGGCGCTTGACATTCGCCATGCCGGACAATTCGTTCGTCGGCACGGACGAAACATCCTTCTTCTTCCTTGCTCCAACAAGGAGGTCTTCAACGCTGAAGCCCAGTAACTCCATGACTGAGCGACTCACGATGAGTTCGGCCGCAGTCGACGCGTCGTCGACCCAGGCCTTCAGACCGCGCAACACAAGCGGTCCACACGTCGTGTCCAGCGTCACGCAGTTGAACTTGACGCTGCGCGTCATCACGACTGGCTTGGCGTCACTGCCATATGGGTACGCCAAATACGGCACGCTAAGGGAGACAGTCCCAACTTTGACACCGGCTGCATCCAACGCATCGATGACGTCGCTCGTGACAACGGTCACGTCCGAACCAGAGTCCAAGACCACATCGTCCACGCGGACGATATTCTCCAAGAGCACGCCGCGCTCTGTCTTCTGTCGCTGCGGCTGGTTGATCAGCACCTTGATGCCGTCCTTCCAGCGCTTGACTTGCGCTACCAACAACGTTTCGGCTTCGACAGCGGTCTTCGGGCACCGCGCCACACGGTGACTCGTGTCTCCGGAGTTCAAGCAGCCCTTCTTGGCAGAGGGCTCGGCATTCTTGGGCACGATCGTTTCGGCCTTTCCGCCGACTCTGCCATTGTTCTTGGTGGCGTCTTCCCGGCCGCCTTCGCGTCTTGTGACTTGCGGCTTGCCGCCTCGTGGAGCCTATACCGGCTTCGCTGGTGGGGAAGGCTTGGACTCGTCGTCGAGTCCAACGTACAGCTGGTGGCCAGCCGAAAATGTCCGCAACCAGTTGACGGAACGAAAGACGTCGCTCTTCAACGCCTTGCTCCGCTGCAACTGCAGCTGCTTTTGAACCGCTGTCTTCAGCGATTCCGGCTTGATCGACTTCGACGACCATCTTGCCTTCTTGGTGGAGTACCCACTCCTGATGGTCTTGTTCCAACGAGCGCATCAGCTCGTCCAACAAACGACCGACGGGGGACTCCGCGTCCAAGATCTTCGTATCGAAACGAATCGCTCGCTGCAGACGTTGCTTCAAAACGTCCAGGTCTTGAGGGTCTTCCTCAAATGCTGACTTGAATCACGCGACCCACACATCGTTGGTGATGGAATTATGGTCGCGGTTGAAGTCGAACAGCGCGATCCGGCGTTTCGAGAACGGGTCCATGCAGGCACTTTCTGGCATCGCGAACGGACGCGATCCATTGCACTGCAGAGCGTTGATATGCCCCAGACACTTCTGGTACTCGCGCATAAAAGCGCGTCTTTCGGCCTTGGTCGAGCCCGAAAATATCGGCGGCTGCGAGAGCGCCGGCGCGTTCCAAACTTCCAGCGCCGTACAGCCGTAACCGCCATCGCCATCGCTGCTCATGTCCCTATCGTCACGGACATCCGACGGATCGTTGTCGGCTAGCAACGGCACTGAAGCGCCATCTGCTTCAGTCGTTGGTGGAGCAGCAGCTGAGACAAACGCTGCGACAGCTGGTGTTCCTCGGTTTGTGCAGCGTACTACCGTATACCCCCGCTTCAGTACCTATGAAAATGTAAGTAAAATCTGATCACAACCGGTAGAGCTCCAAGCGGTACCTTGAAAACTATTCAGGCATGCGTATTTGTCTAAATCCATCACAGGACTTATATTTCATTGGATGAAAATAATTAGCGCATGGCCATTGGATACCTCTGTCCAATTAGAGACAACTAGGTACAAGCCCAACCTGTACCATGAAAATGTCCGGTATGTTCCAAACCGGTACAGGTCCAACCATAGAAATCATAGGTACTGAAGCGGGGGGTATAAGGTAGTACAGTACAGTGTATTTAGTTGCTGGGTGTATACTACGTAGTATTTTTTACACGTGGTTTTTGGCGTGCATGCACATGGTTATATTTAAGTGGTGTACTTGCACGTGTTTGAATCTACGTGCGCAAATTTGGACGGTTTGCACGTGGTATATTTTCCAGTCAAAAAAAGTTGCATATAGACCGCGCAAATAATCCAACAGGATGCTCTGTAACAGTGGCCGACAGAAACGAATAGAGTTTATGTCTGTATTTTTGCCTATGAACTCAGAGTTGTATGAGACTTTCTACAGTATGTGAGATGCAGAATTCAATGACAAAATCCACCTGTGTAATCAAAACTCTCTGGAAACGAATATCCTTCAAAATATTACCGAAAAACAAACTAAACTTAGGCTGATTTTGACCTTGTCATCATATAACCTGTAACATCTTATACCGAAATCATTTTGAGTATTACATTCAAAAGGTTTAGTTTATCAAGGACTCACAGTACATTCCACTTTCCATTCACTGCCAAGACAAAATATACCAGTAATTTCATGGATGTTACGCCAATGCAGTGGTTACATGTATTCATAGCAATGGTTTCAAAGCTATGGCTTCGTGGCAGCACTTTCGTTTATTCATTCACTCACCACTCAATGGATACTACAGCAAAGGATTGCATGACATTCGTCAAGATGGCACGGCCGTGTACTCTCACTCGCGAGGAGCGCCTTGACATCTTGCGCTTACTGGCGTTCTACAAAAGACAAGGGGATAAGACAGGTGCCAAACATGTTTCAGAGGCACTCGGGAGGAGCATTGCTGTTGTGCGTGGTGCGTGGAACGAGTACTGCATCTATGCACCAACCACCAGGCTCGCCCTGCTGCCAACAGGTCAACTCACCCATCACGGGTCCCACGCACAACTCAAAACGTTGAACTAGTCCAGGAGTTCGTACGTGATCGCCGTATCACGCACACACGAACGACAGCTGTCGATGTGATGACCTATTTGAACGAGATGGATGTCATGGAAGTTGATCTCAACAACAAGGCACAGACCTCAGCAGCCGTGCGATCTGTTCAACGCTTTATTAAAAATCAGGACTACAGGCGTGGGAAGAAGGCCAACTCATCCAGCTATCATTTGTCCAAGTCCAACGTGCTTGCTCGGGACTCAAGGCGATGCATCCATTTATGGGTGCATCTCCGAAAACCAGCGTTGTGTACCTGGATGAGTCATTCATCTACCAGCATTACAAGCGCCACAACGACAGCTTACTCGACCCCAGCGACGACCTGGATGTTCAACGCAAGGAAACCCACAAAGGGCGGCGTTACTGCTTCATAGCTGGCATTCTGGACTCGCCAGACATGGAGTGCCAGGTGGTAGCCCTTGACATCTTTCCTGGTGGCAAGTCGACGGCCAAGCAGCCCAAGGACTACCACGCAATGTTTAATCACGACTACTTTGTGAAGTGGTTTGCCAAGCTGCTTGCAGAGTTGGGTGATATGGGTGAATCAAACGCGTACATTGTGATGGATAATGCCAAGTATAAAAAAGGCAGGCCTGTCGGAACACCGACCAGCCGGCTATGCAAAACAACGCTAGCAGGCAATATGCACGCGATATGGGATACCGTTCAAGCCGACATATTTCAAGAGCATTCTCTGGGAAAACCTGTCGGCGTACATTGAAAAGCACATCCAACCTCAAGTAGTCCAAATGGCAATCGACAAGGGCCATATAGTCGTCTTCATCCCGGCTCCATACCATCCACTCCAGTGACCATGCCGGCACCCCCTTTCTAGCCCTCGCCCTCTGCCCAGGTGATCACACGCCCACACGACTCTCGAGTGTCAAACCCATTCGAGTTGTCAACACACGCTACCTCACGAAAGGGGACATCTCCACGTTCGGCGAGCACACCTCTCAACTCCTCCTCGAGGACCGCCTACCACCACTGATTACGGCACCCCCCCCCCCACATATAGCCACGACGTGGTCCCCGCAAGAAACTACCGACTGGCTTGAAGGGGCGGTACAAAACCTCTATGACATCCTCTACACCAGCGCCAAGCTCAAGTGGGGGGAAACCAGCCAAACTAAGAAGGCCCTCAACCGGGCAGTGGCAATACAACGCACCAACAGGAGCTCTGCGCAGCTCCGCCGCCTGCTCCGTATACATGAAGCTGTTACCCCAACCGGGGATGAATACCTCCGACTGGTCCACATGGTGGAATGGCCCAAATGGATCCGCAATCCAAACCTTCTCCCACCAACATGCTGGCACCGCTCAGGAGCTTTAGCAGTCGGTACCTGGTGGTCGGAAATGCCCACCGGAAACGACACCACCAAAACTGGGACAGCTGGCTACGTAAAGGCATTGCACGCTGAACAAAGGTATGCCGGAAACGGCGAGACTCGCGTAACACCTGCACCCGGCAAACCCGAGTGCAACAACGGACCGCATGGTTCCAAGGCCGCCAAACCCGTAAATTCCTCCGCTCAGCACTCAGCGCACCCACCCCACCAATTTCCATCCAGAGTGTAGTAATCCGTCCGCCCAATGCCCCCCCCGCTACAGCTCCGACCGGGACGAAGTCGCAGCAGGGCTCCGCCAGCTGCTAGACAACTGGATCCCCCCCGCTGAAAAAACCGCCCGACCTCGGCACTTAGACACTGGCCTGCATTCCGACCGACTACAGATCCCACACTTCGTGATTGGCTCCTCCATGATATGGATCACCCAGACGTAGTATCGCAGGCCTTTCAATCCCCAACGGGCACCACGTGGGACACATATCACTACGATGCAGACATGCAAGCACGATGCGATGCAGTCTACGTACGCGCGTGTCCCCAGGACATGGGGGGGTCTCACAGGAACTCTGGATTGCTGCCCCGGCGTGTATCAGGGAACGGGAACGAACCATCATCAACCTCATCTTACGCACCGGCCTTGTCCCCCCGATCCTTGGACGCAAACAGATGATCTACCTCGCCAAATCGGCCACTGACCACGGTGTGGTAAACCTCGACCCCGGCCTTCCTCCTTGGCGCCCCATCACTGTCCAAAGTGCCCTCAGCAGCCGAATCTTCACCGTTATACGGGATTACATCTCCCCCTGCATCCCCAATGAAGAGCTGCAACATGGTTTTCAGGGTTTTCAGCGGGATCGAACTGTCCAGGATGCGGCCGTGCTTACCTCCCTCCTCATCGAACGTGGCGAAAGACGGCAAGAAGAGCTCTTCCTTATCTCCAAGGATTGCTTAAAGTGCTTTGATCGCATCCCTGGTTGGGCCATGGAGTACATATACCGCAAACTCGGAGTCCCCTCCCTTCCCCACCAGCTCATGGCACATTTTCTAGGAGCCAGCCAGATCGACATCCACACGGCTTTTGGGTGGCTAGACGGTGGTATCCGTGAATTCGGCATCGGCCAGGGATCCATACTGGCAGTCATGCACATTGGCTACTACATGGATGTCCTCATCCGACAGCAACAGGGGGGCACTGACCCCGTCCAAATCTCGCACAGCCAACACCCCCAGGGACCACGAACACGCACCATCTCCAGCCTCCTCTTCGTTGACGACGCGCTTGACATATCCACCTCCTACTCAGGCATCCAAGACCGAGTTAGGATATCCAACCAATTCACCGGCCAATCTGCATCGGGAGGAGTGTTTGGAGCCGACAAATCCTTTCTCCTCTACCTCTCCCCCCATGCGTACCCTGCTGTCGCCCTCAACGATGGGCTCGGAAACCCCCAACCCATCCGAGTTGTGGCGACCTCCGAGGGCTTCCGGTACCTGGGGATACATCAAGGCACCCACAACCAATGGGAGGAGACCACTCGCACAGTCTGGCTCAAACTCAACACCTAAGCTGCGGCTATTGCCCCACGGGGGCTTGGAAAAAATGAGCTCCAATACATCATTAATGCCGTCTGGATCCCAAGTGTCCTGTACCGCACGGCCATTAGCGACGCCATCAGTATCGCCCTGGCCCTCGACATTCTTTTCCGCAAGACGGCACGCCGCGTCCTCCGCTTGCCACACGACTATCCAAACTTCTGGTTCTACGACCACACCGATGGCTTGGGCCTCGTCCACTGCGAACGCTTCAGCCACAGCCAACGACTGTACCAAATCCTCTGAATCGCCAACGACTGTGGCTCACCCGCCCACGACATCCTCATGGAATCCCTTGAGTCCTAGCAAACCGAGAGTGGCCTCACGGACCACCCACTCGCATTCCGTATCCCCCCACCTACCTCCGACACTATGTTTCTTGGTACACTCCTCCGCGACCTCGCTACCTTCAACCCTGCCGTCACCATCACCACCCAATGGCAACAACCCCACGCTAGCCGTCCCCAACGTCCCAATGACCGCCCTATCTGGGCTCACCTCACCCCAGCTCTCAGCACTACCCTCATCTCCATCAACCGCTCCCACGCCAACAAAGTCCGGTGGGTCGGTGATATTTCCAATGAAAAGGGCACGATGCTGCTCAGCCTTCCATCCCTATGCACCAAACACGGCTGGAACCGCGCAACACTCCAACGCTTCACCCCCATCTGGGATGCCATCCCCACAGTCACACCACACAACCCACCCCCTCTACTCCGGCAACAGACTATCCAATGGGGTTCTCAATATTCCGGCCAGCCACTATCTCTCTCCCCTCTGCCGACTCCACCACGGCCCCATCTTCCATACCTGGAACAACCCCTAGGCCGCACGTTCTTCACACCCTCCCGCAGCGTCGAAGCCATCCATGTACCACTACATGCTATGCTTATCGTCCCCCACCACCTTATACATTGGGACGGCCGACCCGACACACTCAGCTACCGCATCGGCCGACGTACCAGTCTCCAAACTCGACATACTCCCGCCGGCCCAGAAATCGCAGTCACCTTCTGGCATGAGCTCCGAAAGGGAACGGACATCTGGTACTCACCCACACCACGGGAAGCCCGTAGTCGACTCCGCCTAGTCCCCATTGCAGGGTGCGCGATCCTCACTGGCGACCTCCTCCGCACCAGCAGCACCCAACGCCACAAGTTCATCCCATGGACCGACACGACGTGGACACATCCGGACACGCACCACACACACCGCGGCAACAACAACCGCGCTCTTATTGCCTCCACCGCTATGCACAGAGCAGACCAGGCCCAGCTCCCACCCGCACACCACACTCCCCCACACGCCACATGCCTGTTCTGCCTGCCACCGCATAGCGGACACTACTGTCTGTATGGACTGCGGGCAATGGCACCATCCTGCCTGCATACCACATTGTCAGGTGGCCCTACGCCACTCCACCCTTACGTACGGCCTCCACACCCTCCCCCTTCGTGCCGTACGTACACACTCCGTCGGTGATGGCAGCGTCACAACCAAGGAAAACCGTCAGCCCATGGCACATGGAGCTTCCTGGGCAGAGATGGCACTACCCTTACTGGGTATATTCGGATACACCCAGACCACATCCCCCACACGATGCGAAGTCCTCAGCCTCCTGGCAAGTTTGCACCACTCTGGCGACACAGCGCTTCAAATCTATGACAACACCACGGCCATCGGTCTTGTTATCCTGGTCAGGTCCCTCAAACGCCGAGGGGGCCAACCCCGCTATAGCAACATCCACCGAGTGGAACTCCGCTCGCTCATGGCCTTACTCAACCCAGAGGGCACGTTTGCTGGCGACTGGATCCGCGCCCACCAAGACAGCACAAGCACTCCGGACTCAGTCCTACGTGCTAAACAAGCCCTGCTTGCGGAAGCCGACTCGTTGGCCACACTAGCACACCAATTACTCCCACACACCAACTATGCCCACCTCATCTTTCCCGACTCCTGGGAACTCCGAGACCACCAGGACCACCCTGTCACAGGTGCAACGGCCCCCTGGCTTGGCGCCATCTACAGTCGGCATAACTGGCACGCAGCACAGGCCAGAAAACCGGACGCCCGCCGCACCATCCAGCCCCTCCGACTCAACACCGGAGAATTATGCAAATGGGACCTCCCCGCCCTCTCCTTCTACTGGCGGACTATCTGCTACACCCTCCACACTAACGTACGCAAACACCGCATTCAACCACGGTGGGACCCCCACTGCCGTACATGCCCTCGACACGCAGGAACACCGCTTCGGACTCACGCACCCGCAATGCCCCGCGGCGACTACGCTCACGCAAGATCTCCTCATTGCCACTCAAGCCGTCATACCCAAAGCATGGCTCCCAGACCAAGACATCTACCTCCCCGGCCACTGCACTGCTAGCGCGAGTACCTTCACTGGACTCACACGTCCCCAATGGCAGACACGCAGTCGAAAACCCTCCCCCAACTCGGGACACTGCATGCTACCTATCTCCTCAAAACGCTGTGTACTCGCCCTCCACATGCAACGTCTCCTCGGACCCCCCCGACCGACGACGCTCGCACTCGATGCCACCCAACTACACTGGGAGTCTACACAATGCCGTACGCCGGGCGGCCTCCTACCCCGATGGCTCTACCACACAGCCCTTCGCTGTGTACCCCTCCTGGCACCCCGTGACTTCTGGTTCAGTCAGTGGATGGGTGGCCCCAATGGAGCTACATTCCAAGGACCGCTCGGCGCCTCCCCTCTTTGTACCATCCCCCGGCCCCCTACATACAACCACTGGTGGATCGATGCGACTCACCACCCCTTCTCCACCACCTGGTGGCGCCAACTATGCACAGAAATACGGACAGCCACCACCAGCCACATGCAAACCGCACACTGGTTCGTGGTTCCAGAAGGCTCCCCGGGCCATACCCAGGCAAACAGCCTCCAGATTACATGGCTCCTCACCATACCCACGGGCCAGATCACAATACGCAACCCCTCCTCCATCCACCACGTCTCTACCCCCCAATGGGGCAAGATCACCTCTAGCAACCCTGTCCCCATCCACATAGGTTTCCTCACCACCGGCACTACCCCGGACCTCCTCACTCCCGCCCAACACCACTAGACTGATGCACTCAGACCCCTCGATGCTACCCACTGGCTCCATCGCCCCCCACCCATCATACTTAGCACCACACCTGCGGACGCCAGCACGACCAACCCCAAGATCCTCACAGCTCCCATTCACTACCTCCAGTGGGCCCAGCTCAACATCCCGGCTTTCGACCAATACGCACATAACACACGCAGCTACCTCGAGGCTACGTACCCCATCATATACCTTGCGTCCTCGGGCTGGAAACAATTCCCCACCATGACGACATCCACACGGGACTGGGCATCTACCATCACGCACCTACACGCACCGCACTTCCACAAAGCATGGTTCGCCGCGCACTGGGCTACCTTTTGCCAACACTGGAAAATCCACATGCACTACTAACGTAGAATACATCCGCAACGCAGGGGAACTACCCCTCCTCACTGAGGTTAACAACATCCGGCTCAAACGCTGCTACCACAATGCCGCCCCCATGGGCCATGACCGACGCATCCGCGCCCGCAGAGCCCACCTCACCGCCAAGAAGCTCCGATGGCACTCCCGCAGACTCTCTCTGTTACCCCCTGCCTTCCCCTCCCATAGGCTACGCCGACTCGACCCTCCGGCCACCGCGACACCCCCCGGACCCCGGGATATCACCTCCAGCGGTTTAAGCATCCCGTCCCCCTGGAGCCGACACAATCAGATTTTCAAGTAGTTAAGTCAGCTAGCTGCTAACGCAGCTAGTACGCGGCCGTGGCCATTAAGTGCCCGCTGAGTGATCTTAACTTTACAGCGTAATATCAATATCAATATGTACTGTACTGTATTTCATCCCATTTTCGACAATCCATCGCCGCGCCAAAGTACTGGCTGAAATTATCGCATCACCAGCCAATTATTGACCCTACGCTCTCAACACATCTATGTGGTTAAGTATTGAGTGCCGACATAACACTTGCGGGGGGGCAGTCACCCGCTCATACGTGTAGACGACTGGCGATGCTGAAGAAGTAGTGACTAGAGATCTGACGGTCGACCCCGTTGGGTGTTAAGCGCAACAACGGACCTCGGCGCACCAAGACCAAACCCTTGGTGCGATACAATATTGGCCAATCACTTTGCATTTTCTGGAGATGATTTATGTCCAATCAATCATGGCCGTAAAATGGCAACAAAATGGGAAGAAGTATTTTGTCACCCCATTATTCGCGATTTTCGAATTCTACTTGGAACAGGCTCTAAGAGCTTGTACGAATTCCACAAACAAGTCAGCTACAGTACCTCTTGCCACTACAGTAGAAATCAGGAAGGACGGCCAAACCAACCGTACATAGGGTGTCGGCAAGTCCAAGATGACTACTTCGTATAACATTACATACAGTAGTCAAGTTCGCCGACACAATTCGAACGACTCTGTGCAACAATACAGTACTAGTATAGTACGGGAACAAACGTTAAGACATTCAGAATATTTGATGTAACTTCTAGACAGGGTTTGGAAGAGTTCACGGGTTTGGATCTAGCCACTTTAGACTCATATGGAAGACTTCTGTACTAATTACGTCTTCGAAAGTCAGTCAGCATTGTCTGCATGCCAAGATATCAAAATTTTGACCCGGAAGCCAAAATAGGACACAAATGTAAAATCGCTCTAATTCAAGTAAATATACATGGATTTCTTCCTAGTAAGGCGTCAAGGCACCGTTTGACCTGATCACAGCGACACAGCGTCTTGGCATAGAGTCAACCAGTCGTTGCATGATTGCAAGGTCGATCTTGGACGATTCGAGCTTGATGGCCAAAATAAGGGCTTCAACGCTATGATACTGCTTCCCCCCGGCGTAAATGCCACGCACGAGGAATCCCCCACAAGTTCTCGATCGGATTCAAGTTCGGGGAAAGGGCGGGGTGCTCAAATATGTTGAGATTGTGGCCGTTCAAGAACTCCATGATTTCTTTCGATCGATGGATTGAGGCCCCAACTTGCATGAAGATAAAGTCCTCTCCGTAGAATTTATGAGCGAAGGAGAAGAGGTAGTCCTCAAGGGTCCAGATGTATTTGCATGAGTTTTCGTTCCCTTCCAGGAACTCTAGCTCTGTCGCCCCGTCGGAGGAAAATCCGGCCCAAACCATCACACTTCGGCCACCGAACTTGCGAGAAAAATAGGACTCATTGGGATGCCGCAGGTCACGCCAGTAACACTGTAAGCCATCAGGTCCGTCGAGATTAAACGTTTTCTCGTCGGATCAAATGATGGTTGCCCAGGATGGGGCGATGCAAGGTGCATTTTCGTGTATTTTAGTCGCGCCTCCATGTGCTCCTTTGTCAAAAGGGAGGTCGCGTTGCGCTTCACGTATTCGAAGCAAACATTGTCCTTGAGCATGTGACGGACCCAATGTGGCGAGACGTCCAACTTGAGGTCGCGAACGATCGAATTTGCCGATGCGCCGATCTTGGAGGCTGTTCGGAAGATTTGTCGAACGTCATTTACACTTAGTTTTGATGGGCGACCACCCTTGTAGCGCTTGTCATAGTTTTCTGGGTCCATAAGGTAGTTTCTGATGGCTGTTCGGGATACGCCAAGGCTTTGGGCCATGAACTGCACAGTTTGTTGGTGCTGCTTCCATACAACGATTTATCCCTTCTGGAACTCGTTCAGTTGCTTGCGGCGGCCCATGGGATGCAGTTGAGGCTGATGAAGAGACGTTATGGGACCTGCATTTAAGCTTTTAGCTGCCAAGGTATAGTTGACTTTGTCCTAGAGGATATTATGTGCATTGTCCTATTCAGACTTCCGACGTAAAAAAGGCTAGCCGGCGGCTCTACCAAAATCGATGTCGCTCTTTCAAATACAGCTCATTGCCTTCGGTAGAGAATTTTGAAACGGCTGCTGTGGTCTAAACTTAAATTTAGCCCCAGACGGTGTCAATGGCATATCCCAAATTCTTAAATTCGTGATGTCTTAACCTTTGTACTGTGCTGTACTACTTGACGTAGTTATACTGGTAGGATTTACACTAGTAAGCTATACCAGCCCCACGAAATTAATTGTCTCTTCGCAGTCTCCTCTGCGTTGGGGTGGAGATTTTGGGCGATCAAGTCGTTGTCGATGTTGTCTGTCCACACATACTTCACACTGTCAATCAAGTCAAACGACGTCAAAAGTAACTGTGAAAATTGGATGCAGGCAAAAACCTTGCGAAAATTCATGCCCACTCAGCGATTATCTAATGAATATTTTGATTCTATAACCCTTCGAAAATGCATGTCCACTAAGCGATGGCTAGAGACATTTTTAGTTTCCAAACAGTGCACTTACATCGTCGTACTGGTCGATGGTGTCCCCATGCGTGTGGAGGCCCCCTTCGGCCAAGTTAATTTGGTCCACAGCATATCGCTCTTGCAGGGATTCGATGATGGTAGCGCGCGCATTGAGAACAGGATAAAGTTCGCAAATGAAGTGGACTGCGAGCACTTTTGATTAACGTTAGCTTTATGTTGCCACAATTCATGTTGGCCGGAATTTCATTGTAGTTGCAGGCCAATAATATTGTTGAAATTTGTTCTCTCCAATGTTCGGTGTGAAGGACCTGCTTGGTTAATTGGTATATTGTCAGCATGATTGTCGTTTACTATGTTTGAGTCTTTTGGAATTTTGGCATTGTTTCATCCATACGGTAAATCAAGTAGCTTCCAAATTGTTTGGTATGTTCCATAATGGTGTCATATTTGCAAATTCTGCACATATGATTTGGGAGGGAACTTGTAATTTAGCAGTAAGTCACCAATTCGATCAGCAGACTACTACAGTAGTACTGTAATGCCGTTAACGTTAGAAGGCGTGAACGATGAACATACAGTGGTTGCCGGTAAAACCCGGCCAGTGCAACTTTTGCCCATGACTTGAAAATACTATGTTCAGTGGTATGGCGCACAATCAAAATATAATGAAAATCACTTCGTGCAACTCCGTGAAGACGACATGTATTGGCTAAAACTAAAGTCAGTGAGTCCGGATAATGCGCGTCGCACGCGTCGCAAAACCGGATAACGCGCATATTCGAGTGTCCGCAACAATCTCACACAATACATGACCATCAAATTGTTATGAATTAAATCTCAAGTACTGATGGGATCGCTTTATCAAAGGCTTTCACAATCGTGTCTGTCGAAATACGATACCAGACCTTAATCGTCCGTTTCACTGTGGCCAAACGCTTCTCTTGTGCCGTCAAGATGTCGCCGTTGCGTTCGTCGTCTTCTAGCAACCACGCTGTCTTC